GACGCAGAATATTACAAGAAATCAAATAAAACTTCAAATTTAATAAGCACTTTAAAAAAATATTAATAAATTTAAAAAAAATGTTAAAACTCACTACCTTAAAAGCTTAAAGGACAAAGCTATACATGCAGATTATATTAATATTTTCGCAGGATATTCAAAGATGAAACTCTTACAGCAAATTAGATGCAGCAAGAATTTCAATAACTATATTCGGTTCATATGTAGAGTCACGCAAACAATGCAGTTTGAATAAACTTCGGAAATTTCCAATCGACACGAATGAAATAACAATGAAACGAACACTTCATTTTATTTCAGGGATAATTAGCATTTGAATCGCTGCTATTTCAATTCTTTTTAATTAAAAATAAAATAAAGCAAGTGTAATTCATTTCTCTACAGTATTCTTCGTAGTGTAAGTGTGTACGGACAAGTAGATAGCTAGCAAATTAGGAATATTCATTTGATGTTAGTAAATCACAACCGTTTGAGAAGTGGAAAAGAGAAATTAATAAGAATAATGATTACGGAGACAGACGTTAAAGAGAAAGTGAAATCTGACATCTCAGGTGGAACCGTATTATGCCAGTGCGCAGCCGTCGAATAGCGATTTGGGATTCGGATAATTATTTGAGTGTCGTTAATAAGCGGGTAGATGAATAGGTTTATAAATCTTTAAATCCAGTAAATAGATTCATTTGTAATAAATAAAACAGAATCGTCATATAATTTATTGCATCACCAGTTATTTTCCCGAGAATTACTGACCCGCACTTAAAAGAGGAAGGTACGGGAATGACGGCACAGTCGCCATATCTGTTAAAAATTCGGATGACGGCGCCTTTCATCCGAAACGATTGGTCGAAAAACGATCGGAGGTAATGATTAATAACGTCGCATTCGGATTCCATTGTGGCGAGACAGAAATCAAATCGTACGTCTCGATTCGGTTCCGGTAAAGCTAGACTTCCGTTGGCCCGACCTACCGAATTTCATTCTATACAGGCGACAATTCGACGCGCCAGATGAGCCATTCGAGCGAATAGCAGACAAGGGGGAAAACCGTATTCTCTGTTCTTCACGCTTTACAAACATTTCTATTGGTCGACATTACTCTATACTTTTGTTGAGAGTTTTATAAACGTTTCAGACTTTTGCTTGCATATCTATTCTTTTCTTGTTTTAAAATTTTATATCAAATTTCTATGCACAGTTATCTTGAATTTTGTATAAAACTTTAATAAAAAAATTATAAAAGAAAAAAGTTTTCGCTAAAACGGTTCTTCACTTCGTAATTGAACGATACCTTTACTGATAGCAGGTGATAGACGTAATTA